CCCCAAAACCCCAAAACCCCAAAACCCCTAGCAGTAGAATTACTTAATATGCTAGTGAATTTAAAATCAATTAATAAAAAAATCACTTAATACTTAAGAGATTTCATTTGCAGCAACAGTCTTTGAAAATAATTGATAACTACTCATTATCTATTACACCATTTTGTCTCATTATATCAGATATAGAGGTGTATATTTCTGATTATGGCTTTCTAATAATATCTTAAACCATCTGTTCAAAGTTCTCTTAGATATTTTCTTAACTGGCCATGATAAAGGGCCACATTTATCGATACCAGCAGGCATTTTTTAATATAAAACTTGTTTATCCATTGAAATTGCTTAGTAAATCTTAAATATTTTTAATGGTCCATTAATACTATTAGTCATCCATACTTGGTTAACCTAGCGATTAATTATATTAGGGACCCCAAGGCCAGATTTATTCTGTTATTTTATTAACCCATGGTAGTAATGATTAAATAAAAACCGATCTGACATTGTTAGTCTCAGGTCCATTTAGAAGAGCATCAAGTCTAATAAGGCTGCTGCTGGAAAGTAAATCTTAAAGCTAAGAATAAGAATTAATATTTCTATTTAAGGCAACTATCCAAGGGTACCATTAAAATGCACAAGGAATTACTTGCTATATTACATCCAAGCTTACACGAGTTTGATTCATTTGATTTAATGTTACCTCTAGGACTGATCTAATGATTTCTTTCATCTTCAAAAATATCTCATCATTTACTTAATATGGGCTATTATCCATACTATCTGTAGTTTAGTCACTACTGATTCCAGAAATTTAAGGAGATTATGGGTACCAAGGCCAATTATTGATACAGCACTGTGTGATATTTTTAGTAACATTCAGGTATTAATCCATACTAGGATTCAAAGTGAAATTAAGTCGAAGCATTTGTATAGGAAAATCATTCTTAATAATATTTTAGACGGTGTCAAAATCAATACTCTGTATGTTTTGAAGAAATTCTTCAGGTGTCTTAGAATTATTTATCATGCTCCAAGGCCAGCAAAGATTTCTTTAAGAATTATAAATTTCAGAAGATGTTTCAGCAGTTCTTGTTGAGTATACATAATTTTGATCATTATTCACTATAGTAGCAGCAAGAGCGTAGGAGCTAGCCGAAGCTTAAACTTCTCCACCAGTTTACGCTTAAATTTATTAAAAATTATTGTCTTAGCAACAGCATCCCCAAAGTGGCCAATCTATTGGAATATTGTTGTTGGCTATATCCTATCCTTTGATAAAAGTGATAAGGTTAATCAAAAGAAAAATCCTAATAATAATCATAAATATATAATAATTTATTATATCATTCTCATCTGTTTAACTAATATCCATGGGGTTTTGGGGTTTTGGGGTTTTGGGG